GACCTTCTCCATTGCCCTTCGGGATGCAGTAACTGTTCCATCCGGACGTCGGAGGCAGGTCATCTTGGTCTTGTAGCTGGCAAAGCTTCGGCGGGCATTGCGGATGCTCCTCCCAGCCTCTGCTGCTTCAGCTAATACTGCTGCTCTTCGCTCCTTGAGATCTTCCTTTATCGCCTCTCTGCATAGCTTCGCAAGCTCGGACGTGAGTCGGTGATTGCCTGCAGCTCGTGCGGCTCCACGTTGGCGTATCAGCTCGAGAGTTTCCGGAGACAGACGTCCCTTGGTGACTTTCAAACTCTCTGCCTTCCTGCCACTCTCGTGAAGATGTTCAACGAGCCGATGATATTCCTCGTCGATGTTTTCGATAACGGAATCCTCCCATAAGCTGACAAGAGAAGTGAAGTGATCCCAGTTGATGACTGTCCTGGGGCTTCGCTTCCTGAACTTTGCTGCTCTCTCAACACGCATCGAAAAGTGGAATCTTGCGCGGAGGAGACGATGGTCCGATCCCGTGTAGAACTTCGGAACAACAGCGACGTCGGTCAGGCAAAACCTTCGATTGAAGATGATGTGGTCTATCTCGTTATGGAACTGTCCATCAGGTGACTCCCAAGTCCAACGAAGGTGAGAGGGCTTCTGGAACTGTGAGTTACCATGGATGGTGTTGGTCGACATGATAAACTCAGACAGTCTTTCGCCCTGCTCATTCCATCCATTCCGTGAGTACCGATGTGAAGTTCTTCAGCCGTTCTTCTTGGGCCAATCTTGGCGTTGAAGTCGCCGACGATGACCTTGAAGAAGGTATGATCTTCCTTGTAGAACTTCTCCAATTCCATATAAAATGCTTCGTGTTCCTCCTCGTCGTAGCTGGATGTTGGTGCGTAGGCGACGAAGATTGTCAAAGCAGGAGTTGAACCACATCTTCTCAATCTCAAACGTCCGATTCGGGTCGTAAGGCTTTCGTACGAATCGATGTTTATGGCCAAGTGCGTGTTGACGAGGACACCCACACCGCCAACGCCTCTGCTGTCGCATGTTCCAAGGAACAGTTCTTCTCCAGTATCGAAAACGGCGTGTAGCGGGCGGTGCCTTCTCGTCTCGGTCAGTCCGATGCCGATGACTTCGTATAACTTGATCTTCCTGGCTTGCACCATCATCCGGGCTTCCTTCGAACACTGTGAACTTACGGATCACCGCAAGCGTTCCTTGCATAGCGCCGTTTGAAAGTAACAGATCGCCAATCTATCTCTTCTTCCGTTTAGGCAGCCTATCCGGGGGCCTGAGATTCCTACTGCAGCCACCCTCCTCCTCCCGCCGACCCCGGCGAAGGTCTTCACTAACCACCCCCACCCAAACGCCTCACCCCCGACTCCGCCCTGCAGTTCTCTGTATTGGGGCTCCTCTCAAAGGTTCAGGGAAGAGGCCCATGTAAAAATAGCGGTTTTCCGTGTCAAATATGAATGGGCATCCCCACGAGTAGCTTGCCAGGACGTCCTCTCTGTCGCTCCGTGGGCTGATAAATCCACTTCACAGTGTCTGAGTTAGGGCGATCAGCTAGCCACGCTATCCTGGAGCGGAACAAGGGGCTTATTTCTTGGAGGCGGCCCCGAATCGCCTCCCATGTACTTCCCAGTCACTTGAATGCAAGCTTTTGGCTGTGCCGACATGCAGGATACCAACCGCACACACACAGAGCGCACCACACACGCAAGCATGCATGGATACACCTGTATGGAGAAGCTGGTATGAATCGACACAGCACTACAGAGAACAGGGAGTCCATCCCCTGAATCCACCTGCGTCTCAGGGCAAGTACATGGTGGCTTTTGGTCCGCGATTTACCCCCTATCCGCCACCTGGGGTCGCGCCACGTAGCCTCGCCACCAACCGGCTCGAGATCTTTCAGTGAGAGAGGACCCTCAGTGAAAGAGATCCGTGATAATCCACTAACTTATTAACAATTCGATCACTGCTGCTTCTACTTTACAGACCGCGGCGTTCTGTGTTCGTGCGGGATTATGGTGTTAATGGATTATGTCAATATTCGACTTCGACAATGGCCGCGAAGCTGGTGAACGTTTCTAACGCCAGCAGGAGAACTCGAGCGTACTACTTTTATATAGTACGTAATTGTATAAGTCTGAGGTTTACACCTTTATCCCGTGGCGTGTAAATCATGAATGCTGTAGGAGAAGGGAAAATAATCTGTTGTTTAAACGTTACAGGCTTCAGTGGTGATATTTCAGAGGAACTAGAGAAGCTGTTTGAAGCGACCAGTTGGAAATGCGTTCACAAGGAATACCTGCATCGGCAGACGATTAATCATCAAAAGCAGCTTAATGTGCCAAGGATATTTGTGCAGGCCCGTTTCGTGAAGATTTGATGTACCGCTCCCCTAGCGATAGTAGGCGACACCTCCGTAATTTAAAGATCGTTTCTGTGAGTGATTGCTTCGAGAAAATCCGTGAAAACGGATGGTCCTTTACCGTGAAAATTTGCGGTGGTTCAAAGTGGTATGGGATACCAGCAGCTTTTTTGTTCTACTCGATAGAGATCAATTATATTTTGGAAAATATTTCGTATAATGCTCTTTTGTTAAGTTTTTAGAGACTAGGATTATTCACTTGGCGATCGAATCGTCTTTGGAATAAGATTTGCAACCTTTCATCCATTCCATGTGATGCACTCTCTTCAGCAGAGTGATTCTATTTATATGTATATGCAGTGTTTCAATATAAACGTCTTTCGTCAAGGTGAGCATAAAATTAGGGTTTGAAAATGTGTAACCAGGCTTTAACCAGAGTCGCCGTTGGCTCATCATTACTGCAGTGAACTTGAAAGTGCAGTGCTCATGTGTGGTGGCAACGGAATCAGATTCTCAGGTTAAGTGAGAAAGTGCTTGACAATAGTGGCTTATGCTGCCTTAGCGGCGCGGCTAAGCTGATGTAACTACATTCCTTTAGTGATCTTCTTTCAGCCTAAAGTGGGCAGATGGTTGGTGCTTCTTGCTGTGTGTAACTCGAGTTCGTCGAGACTTTATGCTTCGTGTTGTAGAAATTCTATCTTTGGCTTGTGTCGTTAGCAGCCTGAAATCGTCCGTAGATTCCCTTCGTCATGCGAAACTTCTAGAGCCATCCTCCAGTTTGTTAAAAGTGAGACGAGGTGGACGGTAGGTTCACGGTGAAATATTCCTGAAATTTCTCTCAATAAGCAGAAGGAACCCCTGGTTATGGGAAGGACCGCAGTGAAGGTAATCTAGAATTTCCGATAGATTCCAGAGGCTATCACTTCGCTGCCTGCAATCCGCAGAGCCAAACTCGGACCTAGTGAGCGCAAGCAGACATCTTAACTCATTGCCCTCCCGTCGCCTGATTACTTGCCCCGAAGTCCACCACACATGTTGCAAGCAAGCACTTCGACTGAAGTGTTTAGAAAGATTGAAAGGTATTTCAAATGGCAAATTTCCGTCATTGGAGCTAAGAAACACATGGGCAGTCAATATAAGAATCGGCGCCAAATTTTTACAAAGGAAAATATACGTAAATTTTCCCAATCTGTTCGCACCTCATCCCTGAAACAACTTATGTTATTGGAATGAGTCCTTTTGGTTTGTTGCTTGCAGGCATGCGGTTTTGATCAAAGAGTAGAAATTAAAATTTCAATTCACACGTTTCTTTCAAACGTAAATTGCACAGTAATTGTTTACAATTTAGAAGATGAGTAGTCGTGTGATTTTGCGAGAGTGACTTGACAATGGCAAATTTTTAACCCATTCGCGACCGCGCGGGGTTGCGCAATAGCAGAACAGTCAGAGGTTTTTTGTTCAATAAAATTTGAGTGGATGGAGATTTCCTCTGCCCAGGGCTGGCGTAGATGAATGAAGGGTATGAAAGATTCTTTTCATGGGAGCAATTGTTCCAAGATCCTCACTTAAACACAGTGGCCACAACGATATACCCATTTGGCCCGAGTAATCTTTGTCAGCCAATCCGGCTGCCATTGTCACGAAATGGTTGAAGAATAGTTGTTCTTCATAGTTACTTTATTTATTGCAATGGATCCAAGGAACACATAGGCAGCAGTCGATATTTATAAGAATCGGAGCCAAATTTTGTACATAGGAAAATATGTGCGAAATTTTCCATTCTATTTGCACGTCATTTGGTAGTTTGATTTGATGGAATGTGCTTGCGTAGTGATTTCATTTCCCTGAAATGAGTTATTGAAATGGAGTCTCAGGTAGGATTTTCTCAATTCGTACCTGATTCGTTGGTTTGTTTTGATCGATGTTCTTCTGCAGAGCCTTCATTTTCCTGAAATCATGCAAATAGGGACCTATGGAAGGTATACAAGGTATACAAAGTTCTTTATGTTCATCGTATCGTAAGTGGTATAGCGGCAAATGGTAACGCTTGCTATGCGCACGACCCGGGGATCAAATCCTGGTCTGTTCCAGGTCAACCAACTTTTCCATCACTGCGAGATCAGTTAATCGGTAGCACACTTGTATGGTAGGAAAACAGTAATATGAACATTGGTTTTTCTAAATGATTCATGGTATGGACCAAATAAGGGCGGAAGTGGTGTAGTGGCAAGTGGCACGCTTACCACGCGAGCGGTCCGGGGATCAAATCCTGGGTCGTGAGTCGCCCGGGCCAACCAAGCCTTCCATCCCTCCGGGGTCGGTTAATTGGTACCAGACTTGTCTGGGAGGATAAAAACACTGACTTGTACATCGGCTGGCCCCCGCAAGTCATTGTATAGGCCACATCGCATTCAAACGCCACTACGAATGTACAAATGGAAGTAGAATGCGTGCCGCATCCCAAAAAGGGATTGATCAACGGCAAATGCTTTATCCTTTATCCTTTATCTATAATTCACTATGATCTCGGTAACAGTGAAGACAGAAATTGTGTAGTTCGATGCACTGCACGAATAAGGCTACCCTACGGGAGTGGTACGGTCTGATCCGGGTCAATGTCTACCATTGGGTTGGGAAAAATTTGGGGTCAGTATACCCGCTTCTCTTCCCCTCTGAGGATGTTCACCTTACGACTAAATACTCCAGCCCCCCCCCCAATCCTTGCGATAGAAAGGAAGGTCAAGTGATGTGAAAGAAGCTGACTCCAATGTCCTAGCGTAGTTAGGACTACGTAACTATAGTGACCCTGGTAGTATTACGTGCAGCCTACCTCTCATCTCTAGAACTGAAATTTCTACCCGTTCCTAGAGATTTCTTCTTCTATACATAGGAGCACTAGGAGAAATAAAAAAGTCTCAGGAAATACGATCCCCCTTCCGCGACTCTTTCAAATACCCATCAGTATTGGTTTCCCTGCACGGTAATGCTAGCGAGTAAGTAGCGAGTGGAGTTATACTGGAATGTGGGATCAAATCAGTATTGGCAACAATAATGGCAACCGGCTGGAGATGACTAATACCTTTAAGCAACCTTGGAGGTGTGATTAGTTTGTCACACTTGGGTCAGATTCGAACCGTAGACTGGCCCCTCGCTGGAGCCGCCACCGACCGTAACATTATTAAACGACAAGCGCTTGCCATGGACCGAAGAATTTCAGCGATTTCACTTTCGGAGTTTCACCGTCAGCATCGGCGCATGTAAGGCGTAGTAACCAACCTTACAGGTTCGAGTCCCTGCTGAGAGGAGGTACTCAGCCAATTACCCAGCATCTAAGCCACATTCCTCAGCATGACTCGAAGCTGGAAAGCTACTACAATCAGAGCTTTCGTCTCCGGATCGTTGAAGAAAAAGTTTTGTTCATTACTCAGCCATTTGTGGAAACTTTTCCAAGGCACTTGCTGCGGACAAAAAGCGGGTACCCGGCACGAGGCTCATCACACGGTAACAAGGCAGAGTCAAAGGACGGTCGCTATAAGGCTGTTCCATTGTATGTCTACATCGCACATCATGCGCTGCGACTCGTCCGCTGGCTCTGCTTCCTTGCTGTACGACGGCCCTCCTGTCTGGTACCCGCCAAAAACAAAAGTTAAAAAAAAAAAAAGTTTAACAATCAAAAACAAAATATTTATATTACATAAAGGCCCCCAAAAAAATCCAGAAGCTTCACATGGATTGCCAAGTATTCCAAAAAACTTCCCAACCGAATCAAAAAACCCAAGAAGAGGTTGGAAACAAGAATTCCTATGAAATCTTCTGCGATATTTCGGTGTATAACACCTTCGTCAGGCATGTGTCTCCCGTAAGGGCAGCATTATACTTGGCTGTGGCAAACACATGCCTGACGAAGGTGTTATACACCGAAATATCGCAGAAGATTTCAAGGAATTCTTTTTCCAACTCTTCTTGCTTTTTGAAACTTTTGAATTTTTGGAATTTTGAATTTTCTGAACTTTTGGAATTCTTTTGAAATAAAACTTTGGTGCCTCTCTGTGTTATACAATATAAGTCATGATGAGCTCCGTGACACACAGTACCAGAAGGAATCACAAACAAACTGCAACATTGATGATAACTTTACACGCAAGTTGCTCTGGGAACACATCCGTGCTCGATATCCTTGCTCATTTGGACATATCCCTCTTTGCACACGCATTTCGGTCCTCCACAACGCAACGAGAAGCAAAGCGATACCTGAAGAGTGAGAGGTTCACCGTCAGACAAAATAAAGCAGTCAATGAATGTAAAGCTCACGTGATCATAGTTAAGGCAGGATTTTGGTGGACAAATATTCGTACATTCACGGTATTCGGCGTTTGGTGGGCATTTCACTGTAATGTACTGCTCATTAGATAGCAAATTTGGATAGTTCTCAAAAAATGAACAATCCAAAAACCACTTGCTAAGGAAAAATACCAAGGACAAGAAGCGATAGGCATTTACCCCGTTGATCAAAATCTCCTCGCTGGGAGCGACACGTCATATCCTACTCCATTTGTACATTCGTAGTGGCGTTTGAATGCGATGTGGCCTATACAATGACTTGGGGGCCAGCCGATGTACAAGTCAGTGTTTTTTATCCTCCCAGACAAGTCTGGTACCAATTAACCGACCCCGGAGGGATGGAAGGCTTGGTTGGCCCGGGCGACTCACGACCCAGGATTTGATCCCCGGACCGCTCGCGTGGTAAGCGTGCCACTTGCCACTACACCACTTCCGCCCACTAAGGAAATAATTAATAAAAATTCAGACAGTATTATTTCAAAGAAGTGAATCCTTGCTGCGTGAAGTTAATGAAAATAACCCAGTAAAATGTCCTTCCCAATGCAGCAATGTAAGCTCTACGCACGCATAGGTTGATGCGATGTATATGTGTACTATTGCAAAAGGTACTATGTGAAAAGGTAAAGGTGGGGGGGGGGAGGCACACTTTGCCTATGTCGTACTCAGCGATTTTTTTCGTCGGAAACCCCCGTGTCCGCTGTTGATCGGAAGTCTGGAAGCTACCCGTCTGAAAGGTTTGTTCTTCCAAATGCCTCATACTATAACAGCAGACGCAAGCCCTCCTTCCCTGTCTTCCCGTTGACATCATCATGCGATCGGTCGTTAAAGCTCAAAGGAGAACTACGTAATTGCTGCTTGCCTGGGGTACATCGTGTTTTTTAAATCGAGTCACTATGATAGTTTCCTAGAGACATGCCCAACCCCTTCCCAACCGGCACTTTCGCCATGGTCCACTACACCGACTAAGGATCCCTGAGCTTTAACCCGTTGTCACATGTTTTCCGTAGCAGATTATTTCTGACTCCACGTAAAAGCCACTGTGATTCATTTTTTAAAGATGAATTGTGCTAATAACTTTCCCCTATGGAGCATTCAGTATTTGTATTTAGTAAAAGTGTGATTATATCAATTCAATTGTGATGATAAAAGTCTTTATTATTCCCTCCCTCATTTTCCTGTCGATTGCTAAAGAGGTGAATTGCGCCAAATGTTGGGAAGAGGCTCCCTGCTGCGGAGCGGTATCTTGGTAATTCCGCTCTCTTTTTGGAAGGCTCTGCGCCATAAGACCTAACCGATATCAGTCGCACCTATTCTAAACATGACTCTACTTGTAAAGACGCCGCTCAAAATAGTCGCTCTTAAATTTAAAAAATAACATTCTGCTCTCACTGAATAGGTTCATTTTTGATGCCCAGGTAAAATGGAGAATATAGCCCTTCTTGTTCTTAGGTTGCTTTGAAATTGATATCCTTAGTTTGAAAATAATACGTTTGCACTCAGTGAATAGGCTCGTTCCGAACGCCCAGCTGATTTTGATTACGCAAACTTTCAGTTGCATTCGATTTTGGCTTTCAATTTGAGAATGGACTTTTCCTTTGGCCATTCGGTCCTGTATTCCTTTAGCTAGATTGGAACACCAAACCAGGGTTAGGTTACCGGCCGTAACACGTTTCGACACCTGTGAAATAAAAGGTAGGATCAAGAACACGCACGCGTTCACAGTGATTGGCCTCCTACCGTAAGCCCCCCCCCAAACTGGTCGTACAAGATTTTGCTTAGGAAACTTTTCATCATCCACCTTATTCCTTCAAAGCAGCACTGTGGCGAGTTGGCAGTCGAGTTGAGGATGACCTGTTCGTGGTGACCTTCTAAGATGTTCTTCCGCAGGGAGATGAGAGATTGCCAATTCGATGAGCAACCATAGTGAAAAGGGATGGAGGACATCTTCAGACCAATCCTTAGCACGTCTATTGCGCAAATCACAAATAAAACTCATAGATACTAACAATCCATCCACAATCCACAACAATACGAAGACAAGTCACTGCTGAAGGGACATCAGCTTCTCAAGCCGGCCGATTCAGAAAAACGGTAATGCTAGCAATGCCGCTTCGGAAAATCTTACGAGCATGATCCTCTTTTGGGAAAAACTACGCCGCCTGCGAGTCATCAAAAGCGCGCTATCACCTGGTCTTTGCGCCAATTATAAGTAAGTAGTACACTTACCGGATGATTTGGTGGTTGTAGAACTAGTAGTAGGAGTAGTAGTAGTAGCTGAAGTTGTGGTCCTTACGGTGGTTGTGGAGCTTACGCTGGTTGTAGGGTTGTTTGCAGCGGTTGTGGTGGTTTGCCGTTTATGTCGCAACGGTTTGGCAGACTTGCAGGTGCGAACGGGAACAAGACAGTCGAATTCGTCCAAAGTCTAAACGTATTTGCAATCAATAACAAGGCGCATCTTGAACAGAATATTATTTCACAACGATATTATAAAATTAAACATCTGGGAAGCATCGAAGATTGAAAAATTATTGGAAAAGTACTGCATTCGAAGTAGAATGGCTCCCAGTTATGCTCCTATGAAGAATAGGTTGCTCACTCGAAAGACAGTGATCACGATAGGTATAGAAGGGTTTATAGGAGACTGATGGTGCTCCAATGGTACCCCAGTGGCGGAAAAAGCGGAGAAATCCGTCAAGAAAACGCAATACTTCTTTTTGGCCGTTGGTTTTCACTCATGAACAGGTAACAGCTCAGAAAGCGGACGTATGAACGAGTTCATCGCAACGCGTTTGGTGACAGCATGCCAATCCATGCTCCAGTCGAGTTGCTTCAGTTGTGCCGCTGCTGGCAACGCAGCTCGTCCAAATCACCAAACTAGTGGGCGGATCGCTTTTGGGGGCGGAGTGCTTTCGAAGTCCTGCTCAGCAACCAGCGCACCTTTCGTCGTGAAGCGCCACACCTCGCTTCCCTTGGCAGCCAAGTAACTGATTCGTGTGGTGCATATGCTTCCCCGATGCGCTCCCTCTTTATCGTAATCGCTGCCTTTAAGTATCGACCATGCAGCCCTCTTTTGGGTAGCAGTTATTTTGATTTTTGTTTTTTTTTTTAATATTAGGTCATCTCATTCAAACATGTCCACGGTTTTATTCGAATAAAATGAACAGCAGGAAAGATAAAAAGCTAATACTTTGGTGTGAAGTCAAGCAGATCTTGTCGTTGTTAACGACCCGATCCCAGCGTCTAGAAAACACTGGACACCGCGCAGCTTCTTCATTTCAACAAGTATAGACAAGATGCTTTTGATGTCAGTATAGATGATCAACGAATTGTCGTAGCGCTTCCGAACGAGTAGGGCGTTCAGTTCGATAAAACAGCTGAGGTCGCATGGCTGCAGTTGGGAAAATACGGCTGATAAGAAGAGGCCACAATATCCGTTTGATCGAAATACTCCGTGAGCAATATGAGCTATGTAGGGTCTGGTATCGACATAGGTGATGATATCGTTATTGTAGTTTTATACTGCTATTCCTTTGTCAATTTGTTCGCTAAGAAACAAGCCATAAACTTGAGAAACGCCGGAGGTTTTTTCCCGACAGAGCCATTTAAGAGGCACACCTCAGAAATCCATCGCCATAATAATCATCCACGTGAACCCACGTGACTTCTCGTGATCCAATTCGGGCAGTTCCTCATTCGCGTTAATCCAAAGTTGACACTTCTGACTTTGGCCTCAGCGTACAATTACACACAAATTTCGTTTATGAGCAGGGTCCAGTTTGATAGTCTTAAATGCCGTTATCGGCAGAGAAAATCATTGCTACAGACACCAATTCGATTCTGGACTCCTGCATCTGGGAGTAAATGGGATATCCAAAAACATGTTCTGTGGACCATCCCCAATTTTTGGGCACAATTTGCGTAACAGGTGCAGCTAGACTGCAAGTCTCGTGGGCAAACATCGCAAAGGTTCAACATCTGTGATGCGCCATTTGAAACCTCATTTCATCCACCCGCTCTTCTTGGGCAAGGTGGACAATATGAACGCGTCCTCAACCACAACTCGCTTCCGTTCTCCCTTCTTTGAGCTCTCACACCATATCTTCAACGTAGCACTTCGAGAACACTGTATCACGCGTAAGTTGAGCCAGCACACACAGAATTCGAGTTGCGAATTGCACGTGTGTCACCAGTCATCTGGAAATTCCACCTCGATTTGGGTCACTATGAATTCTTTTATGTGTTTAAGTGTTTCCTCCTGCAGCACTATAAACTAAATTAGAGTATACCGTAGCTGGGTGTGCTAGCTTAAAAGCAAAAGCAAGTAGAATGCTCTAGCTCTTTTACTTTTCCCACCATTTCTCTAGATGTCTGGACATGTTTGAATGAGTTGACCTAATATATTAATGATGCTTTAGTGGTCAATTGCATCAGCCTCGGAGGAAACGGTATAGCGACAAATGGCAGCGCTTTCCACGCATGGCCCGGAGATCATCCTGCCCTGTCCAGGCCAACCAAGCTTTCCATCACTGCGGCGTCGGTTGATCCACACTTGTATGAGAGGATGAAAACAGTGACATGTGCGTCAGTTTCTCCAACTAGTTCATGGTACGAACTAAATTGCACTCAATCCACTAAGAAGTGAAGCTGGGCGCACTTCTAAAAGATTGATTTACGCTGCATGGTTTATCCTTTTCCCACTAACCCCTGCTACCCATTTTCAAAAATATTCGGAATTTTTCATGAAATTTATCAGAGCGTAAATTAGGTCGTTTAGACCGGCGTGCTAGCGACCGAGAGACTAGCTACTCGTCACTTTATATATCTTGAGAAAATACGAAAAATAAATAATTCGAGTGACAATAACAATAAGATGCAAATAAAACGGAATGCAAATAAAAAATCTCGTGAGGCTTAATAAAAACCAAAACATAACACCTAGAGCATTGAAATTGTAACTATGTATATTATTTGATTTACAATATCCAAATCCCTGTATCATAATAAAAATAAGAACAGAAATAAAATCAATAAATCGATGTCTCTATATTTCGCTCATATCGTTGTGGGGAAATGGGAGGAGGTATAATTCAAGTGAGTGAACACTTACAGTACCTGGGACTGAGTCTTAAAGAGTGTAAGGAATTTTGGGAGTGTATGTGAGCAATTGTGTTTTCCCTGGCGCTTCTTCTTATTCCCTCTACTGGGCTTGGTCCAGTGTCACCTGCCATCGGCCCTGTTTTTGAATGTCCCCCATGCCTATCGGTTATAGCACTCCCTATATAATGCAAATGATTATTTTGATTTATGGGGTCGTACCATTCGATCAGTGCATCCTTCTTGCTTGGGAAGAACCAAATTCGGGCAATCCGTTCTTGGAATGCAAGTTGTCGTGTCGCGATCGCATTCGTATCCAGGTTCACAATAAATCGATCCACACTCTGAAATCGCAGACTATCTAGGGGCGAAAACGCTGGAGTTACATTATGTTGATGTATATTTGATCCGAGAAATTAATTTGATTTTTCTTCCATAGAAATTATTGAAAGTTGAATAGTTAAGAAGAAGTCCTTCGTATGCTCTGTCGTATGAAGTGGTCTTGAAGGTGAATCCCGCGCGATTGCGAGGGTGGGTAATCGATCTCAAAAATGAATGTTTGTGGAAACTGGTCCATCAGTAATCGAAAAGAATAAAAAACGTTTCGGAACCTTTGAAATCACATTGTGCGACGGTAGCATGCGCAGGGATTGCGTCCCACTTTTATTTCAATAGACAGCGCTCGCCTGCCATAAGGTGGAATACGGTAAAGCGAGGTAAGGAGACAGAGCTATTCCATGGGATTCCTATTGGGGAAGAGCGCAAACACCGCCCACATCATTAGCGTTATTGTCAGTAATTTGATCTTATTCTTCTGCCAGAGGCAGAACAGCGCTACTTCAGGTCAGTTATGGTCGAAACGTCAGGCCACTAATAAAGCTTCCAATTAAAACCTTGTTAGCAGAAGAATTATAATTACAACGATGCCAAGGTTCTATGGAGAGAGAAGTTAAAGTTATTGTCAGTGTTATTTTAAGGGTTCTATGCAGGTTTATTCGCTTTCTTTCTTTAATTCTGTATCAATCACCTTGAGTGCTTTCATTTTCGGACACATACCCTACATCTGTCCAAATGGAGGATGTGAGTTTGAAAGATTCTTCTCTTTAGGGTACGCTCGGTAATGAGCACATACTAAAGAGAAGAAGATTCTCCTCTGTTCAGTTGATAAATGCATGGTAAAAATCGTATTCGTATTTCTGCGTATTTCTCATTTGATGTATTATCACTACAAATGAAGTATGAGTGCACCGCTCTCACTTTACAAATTCACCGACCTTTGGAATATTCAACAAAAGTCACGTATGGTTCTATCTTCTGAACAAGGTGATGGCAGGTTGGAAGATGGACCATGAACAAGTTTATCTGAATTCCAATGAATGGGTATTTCTGACAACCGTGCAAGAGGTTGGAACCGACCAGGGAATTATCTAGGTCGCCATGGCCATTCAAGAAGAGATGTATACGCCTAGATGTGCCTTTGAACGCTGATCTCAAATCTACCTTCCAAATCTGCTAAACGATTCTCTGAATGGAGTTATGAAGCAAAACAGCGCAACGGTAGTGGTCGGGACTCACAGTCAAAACGTCGTAGGATCGATTCCTCATCGTGTTACTGTTGGGGTTCTTTCGGCTGTACAGATAAATAGGCTGTTAAGAACCGTTTAAGCCGTATTTCTGGTAAAAGCAAATCATTGACACTATGAGGAATCGCTCCGACGACTTGATTGAAAGTACCGGCCACTACCGTTGCACTTTTCTGCTCCACAACTCCGTTCAGGGAATCGTTTAGCAGACTTTGAAGGCAGATTTGAGATCCATCTGGCCGTGAATGTCCATGGCCTAGTGAGAACATATGAGCGCTCACCGACGGGGTTACCACGATTACCAGGTTATCACAGGCTACCAGATTTTGACTCAAAAATAATCATACGCCACGAGACATCAGATGAATACGATTTTCGTCATGCATTTTTATTTATCAAACAGAGATGAATACTTTTCTAGGGGGAAGCACTGTACCAAACGATAAGTCTCGTGGTCGCTAACAAAACACGTACCCAAACAGCTTTCACGTTATCCTAATAATGAGTAAGTATTTGACAATATGTCCTACCGCGGCTACATAGTTATCACATAGTATCAACCATCTACTTATTTCGTTCAATTAGAAGAACCCGCTACGACGTAATTCAATGTACAAAAGTTACTACGAACTAAGATTCTCCTTGCTGCAAACAATTTTTGGCATCGGACAGTCTCGCTCGTCCACAACTGTCAACATTGTGCAACCGGCTTTCAGGCGAGGCATCGACAGCATGGGACAGTCAGTTCGAACTGAAAAATGGCGAAAATTGGATTGTTTTTCTCCTTACAAAAATAAAGGAAATTTCATCAAGTGTATATTAAAACTATATCAACACTAGTACACTAGGTGGGGTCTATACCAATAATAAGGAGTGTTTTACTGCAAAAAATCGTTCCTATTACAGTAATCCTGATTGTCAGGGGAAGAGAAGCAGTGGGTTAGCCGAAGTTATTCGTTTGGGCTAAAGAAACTGGATGAGTCTCACTTTTCAAACCCGAAAGTGAACTTTTGTTATACAGGAACGGAGATATTTAAAGGCTTGGAAGTCCTTGGTGCTCAGAGGTTTCCTACTCTAGTGGTTCCGATGTCTTTTGGACACCGCTTTCAAACTTATGTACGATCACCCCCAACCCCGTCATGAGAGTAGTAGACATAACGAATATTTCACCGGTGTCGCAGAGTACACCCGGTCTCATCTACGTCAGTAGAAAGTGACCAGTCTCACACGGAATCCCTCACTCAGTTTTCGCTTGGAGGAAAGTTTACGGTTTCGTTTGGCAAATTGAACACAAGAAACTCACGGACACAGGCACCTTCTTCACAGCGAAGTCCTGGGGCGCACTTGCCATCTTTGTCACAGTCCCAGGGTCCAGCGTATACTAGAAAGACTATAGGAGTTCTGTATGATATAAGCACACAAAATTTGAGTATTTGAAGCAGAAAAGTGGTGGTAAGGTGTATGAGGATACGATTGTGGCTTTGCTTGCGATCTGTCTAATTTCAAGCATTTTACGAAGCTTATACGAATGTGAGATACCTCACAGAATTTTTAAAAAGGGAAGTTTAAAGGCAAAATTCAAGCTTAAACTGATGAGGTAATTCTACTCAAATGTGATGTAGGGGCGGGAGGGTGACCGCCAGTGGAGAAAAAAGGAAGGAAATCCTGAAATACACAGGAAATACGAGCCTTTTGCTCTACGTTGCGGAGAAGTTCAAAAGGCCGGCAGGGAGATGAGAGATAATGTGAGCGCGGAGAGCGGTAGAGAAATCCGAGAAGAGAGAGCATAGCAGATCAGCATTGCGACGCAGACAAAATATCGAGCGGTGGGCGGAGCGTGTCGCAACAGGTGGAGCGTGTCAAAGTCCTTGGCCCCTAGCGCCTTAGTGACGCATTTGGATGCGGGAACTTGGCGAGTCGCCTGCAGCTGCGTCCCATGCACTTCTAGCCACTTCAAGGGCTTATTAGGTAGGGAGTTGCTTCAGGAAGGAAGGAAGTGAAGAGGAACTTAATCATTACCTACTCTATACGTGCAGTTTCGCGACAACATGAGTAAGAAATTACCAAATAATTTCAAAGAATTTGGACTTCTACGAA